GTTTTATGCAAAGTTCCCTTGCTATGTACCCTTATGTTAGGCCACTAGTTGTTTTACGAAAAGGAATTTAGCTATATGGAAGGAAGAGTTTCAAACATGCAAGTTGAGGATATTCCACACTACGATTTTTAAATAGTAAAAGCAGATAACCGGACTCAGTAGTTCGATGTATTGAGGAAATGGGTGGAGCATAAAAGTATCTTGTTTTGGGGGTATAAACAATTTTCTACCATTATTTGTGGAAGAAGCATAGTGTCAAGAAATACTATTGAAATTCCATACAATACTTGTTCTAAGGCACACTCCAAGAAATGAGCAAACCAATGTGCTTCGTTCTCTTGCAAGAGTCCATACTCCTCTAAAAGTTGTGTTATCTGGCACTCTTTACCAAAACCATGTGAATGAAGTTTTTAATATTCTGAAACTTTTTGACCAGGCTTCATGAAGTCACAAACTTCTGCTATTGAAAGGCGCATAATGTCCAGAGTACAGATTTCAGGAATAAGAAACACTTCAAAAGCTGAGTTACATTTAGCATGACTTGGTGGAGAAGATACTGCAATAGAGGGATGATACCAAAATAGAGGAGATTACCCTTCACACGTCAATGGGTTAAGAAACAACCTACAATTAGAGGATATGTTCCCTATCACAACACAAACCCTAATACATTTGTATAAGCTTGATAGTATAAACTTATACTTACGTTATAACATTTTTAATTGTTTGATGTGATCTTAATATAATATAAATTTATATAAAAGGATTTTTTAATATATCAGATGATGTATAATTTAATCAGATCTAAAAAAAATGAAATTAGACCTGATAAAAGATTGATGTATTAGGTTAACTGTTTCTCATTTTTCTCTTCCCCCTTCTAACCCTTCAACCCTTTTCATCTTGTTCCCCATTACCCCTTTCTTTTTCTTCCCCTTTTCTTCTTCTTCTCCCTTTCTTCACCAAACATTGCTTTCGTTTTCAGTTTCTCTCTCATTCCTCCAAAACCATCACAACACACAGACTCTCTCTTTCTCTCTCCCAAAAAATTCCAGAACCTCCGTTTTCATCCTCCCAGAAACTCAAACAAAAAAAAAAAAGCATTCGCACTTCGTTGAACTTCACATCGTTCAGAGTAGCTTTCTCGCTCTCTGTTAATTATCTATTTATTTGTTTGTGTTGCAGTTTGTTGATACAATTTGATATTTCTAAGTTAGTTTGAGTCGGGTTTTGTTGATACGATTTTTTATTTTTTATTTTTATTTTTTTTTATAAAATTATTTATCCACTACGTCAGCATCACTTGTAGGTCGATGTAAAAATTATCTTATCCCCGATGCAGAACTTTCTTACTCATTTTTTATTTCCCAATGCTTGCTAGTCCTGTTGATTATAAACAATTAACCCGCATTGCAAGATTCCAAAATAATAAAACTTGCAAGATAGTTGGAAAAATCTTATAAACACGCGTGTTTTGATTAATTGATGAACTCCGGCACAATAATTTTTTTAATAATAACTCCTACAGACATTTGTTATAGCCTTTCTGTGAACAATTACAGATAAAGAAAAAATTACTACCATCATTTCCATTATATTTCTTCCTTTGGTTATCACTTTTTGTAATACTTTTATCCAATGTTATAAAAGCTGGATCGACCCGATAAACCCGAAAATCAGTGAATCGATCATATAATTAGTCCGATTTTCATATTGCATTGGCCATGTAATGAAACCGGTGCAACCAGAATGATTTTTGTAAAATTGAGTGATCCGACCCAGTTCATAAAAATAAAATTGATTTTTTCTCATCAATTGATGTCTTTTTTTTTTCACTCTCACACAAATGATTTATTTTCTTTTAAAATATTTGAGTGATCTATTGCTTATTAAATTACATAGGTTATATACATATAACACTAATTATTATCTTGATTATGCAATATGCAACAAATTTTGATTTGATTTATAGTTAGAGATGTCGTCTACTGAACCTGAAGCACCAATATCACAAGTATTATATGTTTGATTGATCTTTTATTAGACAATGATGTGTTATTTATTGTTTTCATATTAAAATATTTGGAATTGGTATTTTTTTTACAAGTATTTGAGTATATTTATAGTTTTTTAATATAAATTATATATTTACATATACTTACCGGATCATGTAGTTAAACCAATGACTCAATACTTCGATCGGATCAATAATCAGATTTAATAACATTGCTTTTATTACAAATCTGAACCCATTCTTCATTTTTCTTTTAGTTTCTTAAGCAGTTACAAGTGAACTCATGACACTGAGCAACTTGTGTTGATTTTCTGTTTGTAACAATGCTCTGACTCATTTTTTATTACTTGTTGAAGACACCTACACTTGCACGGTTGCACCAAGGTATTTGTTAATTATTTAGCATGCAATATATACATCCATTTTTAGAATTATTAAATTAACTTGTCAAAGATTTTACCGTTAATGTTTTTAGAGATAAAATATATGTCTATTTTTTTTCATGTCTACTCTACTTATTTCTATCCACACCATTAAATCACAATCTTAACTAATAGCGGAGAAGAAAGAAAATATGAATGTCTATTAAGATTATGATCTAACAATATATGTAGAAGTAAATAAGTATAAAAAAAAATAGACATAATGTTTTATCCCATATATTTTTTGGTAACATTTTATCCCATATTTTTATACATGTACGCTTTTTATTGTGTTTTATTTTTAATTTTTTTTTACAAACAAGTAATATAAAAATAATAAACAAAGCTAGTAAAAGAAAGAAAATCTAAAAAATATTTAATCCTTTCTCCTTTAAATAACTACAATGATTTAATGAAAAATATTTAATGATTCTTAACCAATACTTAACAAGATATATCATATCTTTTATTATTAATATCTACAATATCATGTCACTCAAGTGCGCCATATACAATGCAGGTATGCCTTCCCTCACAAGTTTGTCTTTAATTCCAAGTAACTTGTGGCCAAAGCTCATTCCAAATATCCGGCAGCCTTGTCAATCACTAATACATAATCCAGTCCATGACAAATAAAACTAGTACGTAGTAAAATCGAAAGTTTGTTTTCCTAAAGAGTTAATCTTACAAGGTTTAGACTTCATTAGACTCAATGCTAATGTAATGTTTACATGACCATATCTGGTTGACGAGGTCATTTTATGTGGACCGGGACTTCAAAGTCCTTGTCTTAAAATGGAAAACAAAAAGGACGGAAAGGGAATTTGAAAAGAAGAGAAGAATTTAAGTAAAAGAAATTGTGCACCTAAAAACTTGTACACCGGGTCTATATTAAAAAAATTCCTGGTTGACATTGAGAACCATTAGATAAACTAAACACCCAAAACTATAATTATCTCAAGTACCACCTGTAATGTCCCACATCGGTTGGAGAGGGGAACGAAGCATGCCTATAAGGGTGTGGATACCTTTCCTTGTAGGAGGCCTTTTGGGGGTAACCCGAAACGTAAAACCGTGAGCTCGACGGTGCTTGTGCGCGGGGCAAAGCAGACAATATCCTGCTACAGAGTTTGGGGCTGTTACATTTGGTATCAGAGCCTGGCCCTGGACCGGTGTGTACAGCGGGGACGCTGTATTCCCAGTGGGGGAGAATGTAATGTCTCACATCGGTTGGAGAGGGGAACGAAGCATGCCTTAAATAAGGGTGTGGATACCTTTCCTTGTAGGAGGCCTTTTGAGGGTAACCCGAAACGTAAAACCGTGAGCTCGACGGTGCTTGTGCGCGGGGCAAAGCGGACAATATCCTGCTACAGGGTTTGGGGCTGTTACACCACCTCTCAATGAAAATTCAATTGCATTATCAGCTGTCCAGATTTGCACAGACGAGATGAAAACTTTGGAATGCAATCCTAAAGCAGACACTTAATTTTGTTGGAAAAGGACTTACTTACAAAAGAAGGTTTAACCTATCCTTGATGGTTTCTCCACTATAGAATTTGTACAGATTAACACAAAATAACAATTTCATAAAATTAGTAAGTGTTAGTCCAATAACACATACCCAGTATTGATGGCCCATGTCTAGAACATTCCATAAGGCATCCCAAGATGACTGATAATGTCGGCTTGTCCCAATAAGGCCAAGCTACAGTGGCACAACTCTATCACTCCACTTTTCTCACTCTCTCCCCCACGCTTAGGGAGTCCAACCTTACCTATGAATACCCCCCTTTTCCACCCAAGGGACATCACTATTCTCTTTACTTGTATGAGTTGTTACTTTGTCAATCTAAAAAGCCACCGTAGCCGTTTACACTCCCGCTTTTTGATATAGTACCTGGGAAACTCTAACTGAGCCTTAGTTTAGATTATTGCTATTAAAAGTATCCTTAAATCAACATACTTCACCCCTTTGAGGGATACATAAACACACAAATAGTTCAGTAATATATACAGAGAAGCGAACAACATATTCTGCCATTCCTTTAGCTTCGGCTTACAAGTTAATCACGTGTTCCAAATTTGCTGCATTGGCCATCTGAACATAAGTGAGGACCATTAGAATATCTAGTTATTTACAAGTGCTGCATAAATGTGGGCAATCTTTTATAAAATATTAATTATCAAAATGTCAGGATGACAGAGCATTTAAAGCCTCGTACATTGGGAATTCCATATTGTAACCTCACCATAACAGCAGGATGAAGAATGCATATATTAATATTGTATAAAGAACCATATTAGTTGATTTAATTTGGGTTAGATCTGTAACCAAAAAAAAGAAAGAAATTGGGTTAGATCATCAGCGACAGTTATTAGTAGTTTGTCTGTAGTGGACATTAATATAAATAGTTCGTATATGGAGAATTAACGGATAAGCATTGAGTATCAAAAAGTAAAATTCTTGTTACCACCATCTCATTACCCATTGGTGCTATTAGTTACGTTACGATGAATGACATGTTTACTTCATAGAAACAAAATACTGTGACATGGGACCTACAGATACAGTGATGTTCAAATTACATAATCATTTCATTACTGATATTACCTTCATTTCTATTTTCTCAGAAGATGAACATGATTGTCAGACTTGTAGCAGGTGAAGCAATAATCCCAATATATATATCACTTGTTTTGCTTAGCTGCAACAGTTCGCTGAACAGTTGAAACCCCATCAACAAATTTAGTCCGGAAAAGAACATTTGCGTTATTGAACATGCCTTCCTTCAGTGAAACCACAATAAACTGCAAATCAAAAGAACGAAATGAAATGCGGTTGTTCAATTTCTTGGGTGCTGAACTATCACTTGCGGGAAATTTGAAATAATCATAAGGAAAATGAAATTAATAGTAGTAAAACCAAAAAGAAAATCACAATAACTGAAAATCGACAAGCTCAAATGATTTGAGTCAACAGAGTCAAATTTCTGTTTTTCTTTTAATCTTTTTAACTGATTTAACCTACTAAAAAGCGTTTGATGGCTATTATTTTTGGGAACTGGAAAGACAAAAGAATGCATCACATTAAGGAAATTACACCACAGTACCATAAATGATCATCTACCTGGGAGTGGGGAAAGTGTGCCTTTATCATTCTCCCTATGTTTTGTGTGTGGCTCAAATCAAGAGCTGCATCAACCTTCAACGATTAAACAAATAACATTAGGCTCAACCGCATAATCATTATTTCAAAAGTACAAAAAGTAGTACGTACGCATGTAGAACGGCAGTGAAATAAGAAATTCAAGAAATAAATTATAAAAAAAAGTTCATGTACTCAAGTATTTGTTTTATATACAAGCATTACATAGGCCATGAAGCTAAAAGACCAAGTGTTCGTGAAACAAATTTTGACATTTCTGCCACTCCTTATCATCAAACTTCAAATTTTCTACACAATCAATATCTAGATCCAGCCTAACATTATTCTGCATCTCCAAAACTTCTTCCATAACTTCCAAACCCTCCAGCCTTTCCAACGACACATTTTGACAAATTCTCAATCAGTTGCATATCATTGATCAATGTATTTAAGGTAATAAATATGATGGATTATAATATCTTCACTAGATTAGTTTTACTGGATTTAAAATTAGTGAGACAGGAAATTCAAAAATTTTACCAATGAATAAAATGCCAGCCAAATTTTCGGCAATATTTAATTGTTAACATAACGGACAATTCAATCAAAAGGTATTGACATTGATGATTGATCGAATAAGTCAATGAAAATTTATAAAGGATGCGGCCTAGGTTGCTAATTAAATAATAAGCATTAAATTTATCAAATATACCTGACAATCAATCGATCCTTAAATTAGAATGTAACTAATTTTATATCAGAGATTAGTTCATCATCTAGTTTGACTTTTTTTTTCCCAACTGGTCCATACGAAACCCAACTAATCTTGTTCGAGCACTACTAAACCCATATAGGAACGCTTTCCCAACAGCATTTTCTCTATTCTTTGGGATCAAACCGAGACTTCTAATTAAGAGAAACAAGCTCCTTACGACTTAACTCAATGGTTGTTGGTAGTTGTTTTCTTTTTAACATCGAAATAGGACATTTTACCCAAATAAAGAAAAAGGAAAAAACTACTATTCTGCATAAACATATGTATTCTCGTCAGTATTATAATGAAATATGTAATGATAAAGAATAAGGTAAATTATATTTCCCTCAAAGATATGTTCAAATTACACTGCCCAGTGCCCACCCCTCTATTTTGAAAAATTACACTCCTCTCCCCTAAGAGATGAAATTGAGTTAGTCTGTAGTCCATTTTAATTTAAACGAGCCTTTCAAGGGCAGTTTTCTACTCTTTGCAACTGGCAGCTAGTTTTGTACACCCCTACATTCAACTTTGCAACTTTAGATAGAATACGAAGATCTTGGGCAAAGTCCCAAAGTTGAAAATATGAATGTTCAAAACCTCATTTCATCTTCTAAAATTTCAAAATCAAAAGTAAGGGTGTTCAAAAATAGTCGCAGGTGATTCTAAGTTACAGAGAACAAAAAACTGATCCTGAGAAGCTCATTCGTTGCTGCTCTCCACCATGAAAAGTCATTCACATTAATTGAACTAAATTGTAGTACATTTTCATTTCTCAGGAGAAGAGATTGTAGTTTTTCAAAATAGAGGGGAGGGCATTTAATTTAAACATCTCTTAAGAGAAAGGAGTGTTATTTACCAAAAGGAATATTATGGACTGACTCTACCCTGCAATAATATATAATAGCTAAATAGCATGTATGAAATATTTCCTAAATTTTCAAGTCCATACCAATTGCATAGTGTTTTTAAATAGCTTGGAGAATATCGGTAGATAATCAGACCAGAATGGCAACAATTAAATTGACATATAACCCCATATTCCCACTGGTGCAATATTAACACAGGGAAGGACCAGCAGTACAAAATTATATAGCAAAATACAAACTTGTAAAACAAGCATACTGTTAAGGAAAAGAAAGAACAAATACAGACTAATCAATAAACATCAACTAAACTTAAGTACTTAGGGATACATAAAACGCAGGAAGGAAAATTCAAATATTAAATACAGTTTGTTGGGGATAGCTTAAGTGCCATGCATCTAAAACTCTGATAAGGTTCTTTAGGGGATTAAGTCCGTGCATAGAGATTATTTCAGCATTTCACGCCACCATTTTCAATGCAGTCTCTTTTAATTATTGCAGCAATAAGATAACTAGGACTCCAGGAAAAATTACAAAGAAATTCATGTAAAACATACCTCATCGAGGATGTAAAGTGGAGCAGGTTTGAAGAGAAGCAGTGCCAGAATCAAAGAAAGTGCAAGCAGTGATCGCTGACCTCCACTCAGTTCGGACAATGACTGTTTCCACACACCCCCAAATGCAACACGAACCTCAAGACCATCAAGAAAGCTGCATCCTTCTGGAGGTTCTAACTTAGCCATTGTGCCCGGTAATAGCGTAGAAAAGATGGATCCAAAGTCACTGAATGAACAGAAAAAAAACATGATATTAAACCACAGGTAAATCTAAAAGAATAATAAGAAAAAGAGTAATCAGTAAAAGACATTGCTAAGAACCACTTCTTCCTAAAACTTAAGTTGTTAGGTTAGGTGGTGCCTCATGAAGGGTTTTCACACAAGGGCCCCTTGGGTTTTAAGGATGGACAATGCCCAAGGCCCACCATACCTTGTGTTACCATACCTTGTGTTAGAAATGTAACATAAATTCATTCATGTGTCTTCATATAAAAGCATAAATTTTTAGGATAGTTTGTTGATTTGTTCATGACATGTTGATATTCAATTATTTACTTAGAAGGATGGGTTGGGCAACAAGGATTGATCTCTTGACCAAGTACTTGGTCACAAAAGACTTGATGCTATGTTAAGAATTGTTGTTGTACATAGTATAGAAGTCCCACATTGAGTGTGTCTCTTTGTATTCTTCAATTGGTTTGCTATATAATAGCACCAATGTTGTGTAGTTTAATAGAACAAGGATTACAATGAATACCTCTTGTCTCTTGGTGATTAACATGGTATCTAGAGCCTAACAAGAGGAATCCTAATCCGCGTTTTTTTTTTTTCGGTGGACCACTGTCTGCTGAGTAAAATATTTTTTTTTTCCCGGCAACAGTCATATCTGTCAGTTTCCGGATTCCGTATATCGTCTACGGACCTGTCTGATCACTGCCGCCATTAGGCACCACTGTCCACCGCCGTTGACCGCCGTCTCCGGCGACTTTTCCGGTGAGTTTTCCGGTGAAACCCATATCGATCTGATCGCCACGAGAAGGCGCTCCTTTCTGTCCAGGACCCATCCTCAGATCCTCCTCCACGCGCTCTCACGCGCGTCAAACAGCGGTTGCAACCCGTTTTGTTGCAGCGGCGCGTCCCACTCCGGTTGGCCGTTGGACCACCACGGTTCCCTTCGTCTTCTCCTTGCGCACTTGGATCTGTCCTCATTTTGTTGTTTCGACTTCGTTTCGGCTTCCTACGGTGTCTTTTCCCTTGCTGGTCACTATTCACAGGCGGTTCTTTGCTTTTCGTTGCTGGTTCCATCGCTGGACTCTGTTTGGTCTACGTTGCTTCGCATTCCACCTAAGACTTCTATGGAGCCTGCAGTATCTGCTCCCTCTTCAATTGACCCATCTGCCCTTGTCTCCAAGGGTTTTGCACGTGGAAGCAAACCCTCTACGGGACGCTTTCTCTGCACTCATTGCAAAAAGCCGGGCCATACTATTGATCGTTGCTGGGATCTTCACGGTCGCCCTCCTCGCTCCGCTCATTTTGCTCAGACTACTGTTCCTGCCTCGGACTCTGCCTTGATTGCTGGATCACAGCCACCTCCTGGTACCACTGCCTCTAGTGCACACACGGGTAATTCCTTTGCTGGTGTTTCTCACTCGCCCTCTCTTGGTCCATGGATTCTCGATTCTGGTGCATCTGACCATATTTCTGGTAATAAGTCTTTATTTACCTCTCTCTGTACGTCTGGTCCCCTGCCCAGTATCACTATGGCTAATGGGTCACTGGTTCAGTCCCAAGGGATTGGCACTGTTCTCCTTTTTCCTTCTATTCCCATTGAGAATATGCTTTATGTTCCTCATTCTCCTTTCAACCTTATTTCCATTAGTCGCTTGACTCAATCCCTTGACTGTATTATTTCTTTCACTAAAGAGTCTGTCATTTTGCAGGATCGGAGCTCGAGGAGGACACTTGGCGTCGGATTTGAGTCCAATGGCCTTTATCAGCTTTCAACTTCTGTTCCAGTGTGCTCTGTTGTGGATTCTCCGCTTACTATCCACGCTCAGTTGGGTCATCCAAATCTTGCAAAGCTCCAGAAGATGGTCCCACGTTTCTCAAATTTATCTAGTTTGTCTTGTGAGTCGTGTCAGTTAGGGAAGCACACTCGTAGTTCGTTTCCCGATCATGTCAGTCGTCAGTCTTCGTCTCCTTTTGCTTTAGTTCATTCAGATATTTGGGGTCCTAGTCGTACCGTTTCCACTATGGGGTACATATATTTTGTCACTTTCATCGATGATTATTCTCGATGTACTTGGTTATTTTTAATGAAAAATCGGTCTGAATTGTTTTCTATTTTTAACAAGTTCTTTAATGAAATCCTTACTCAATTTGGTGTTTCGATTCGCATTTTTCGAAGTGACAATGCTCGTGAATATTTGTCTCATCAGTTTCAAACCTTCTTTGCATCTCACGGCATCCTTCACCAGACATCATGTTCACACACCCCTCAACAGAATGGGGTTGCTGAACGCAAGAACCGTCACGTAATTGAGACTACTCGAACACTTTTGTTACATGGTCATATCCCATTCCAGTATTGGGGCGATGCTGTCCTCACAGCTTGTTATCTCCTAGTCTTCGTCGTTACTTTGTCTCGGCGGATTTACATTCTTTGAGTCTATTCCATTCTTTGACTCCTCCTCCCATCTCAGTGATTCTGTTGCTACTCAGCTACCTTTACCACCTGTTTCAGTTCACTATATACCTTCACCATCTCCTTCTTTCGATGTCCCCGTCCCTGTTCCCGCCCCTGTTCCCCCCCTCCAGGTCTATCATCGTCGGCAACGTCCCCCTGTTCCCCAGGACCCTGCCCCCACCGAGTCTGCCCCTATTATTACTGAGGCTCCTGTGGACTCACTTCCGTCATCATCTCCTCCGGCAGCTCCGATCCTTCCGTCTGACATTGATGTGCCCATTGCACTCCGAAAAGGTACTCGTGATTCTCGTCCCCCTCCCAGGTATTTAATAAATTTGAGTTATCATCGTCTTTCACCATCCCATTTTGCTTGCCTCTCTTCTCTTTCTTCTGTATCTGTTCCTAAGACTACAGGTGAGGCGTTATCACATTCTGGTTGGCGACAGGCCATGATTGATGAGATGAGTGCACTTCAGAGTAGTGGTACCTGGGATCTGGTTCCCCTTCCCTCTGGGAAGTCTGTTGTTGGCTGTCGATGGATATACACGGTTAAAGTTGGTCCGGATGGTCAGGTGGACCGTCTTAAGGCCCGCTTGGTGGCTAAAGGTTATACTCAGATATTTGGCCTTGACTATGGTGACACTTTTTCTCCCGTGGCGAAAATGACTTCTGTTCGCCTCTTTATTACTATGGCAGCCATTCATCACTGGCCTATGTATCAGCTGGACATAAAGAATGCTTTCCTCCATGGTGATCTGCGGGAAGAGGTTTATATGGAGCAACCTCCTGGGTTTGTTGCTCAGGGGGAGTCTAACCTAGTTTGTCGTCTCCGAAGATCCTTGTATGGTCTAAAGCAGTCTCCCCGGGCTTGGTTTGGAAGGTTTAGCACTGTTGTGCAGCAGTTTGGCATGACTCGAAGTGAGGCTGATCACTCAGTCTTTTACAGACACTCTGATTCAGGTTCTATTTATTTGGTAGTATATGTTGATGATATCGTCATTACAGGTAATGATACTCATGGCATAACTCAGATAAAACAACATTTGTGCCATCATTTTCAAACAAAGGACCTTGGAAGACTCCAATATTTCTTAGGGATAGAAGTGGCCCAATCCAAAGATGGCATTGTACTATCACAGAGAAAATATGCTATAGATATTCTTGAAGAAACAGCATTGTTAAATGCTAAGCCCGTTGATACTCCTATGGATCCAAATGTCAAGCTTTTACCAAATCAGGGGGAGCTATTTTCTGATCCAGAAAGGTATAGAAGATTGGTTGGGAAACTGAACTATCTCACAGTTACTCGACCAGACATTTCCTTTGCAGTAAGTGTAGTAAGTCAGTTCTTGAATTCTCCCTGTGAAGATCACTGGAATGCAGTAATCCGTATCCTCAAGTACATCAAGACTGCTCCTGGCAAAGGTCTTCTCTATGAAAACAAAGGTCATACCAGAGTTGTAGGATACTCAGATGCTGATTGGCCAGGTTCTCCTATTGATAGAAGATCCACTTCTGGGTACTGTGTATTCGTTGGAGATAACTTGATTTCCTGGAGAAGTAAGAAGCAAAGTGTAGTTGCTAGATCAAGTGCTGAAGCAGAATATCGCTCCATGGCCACAGCTACCTGTGAACTCATCTGCTTAAAACAGCTACTGAAGGAACTTAAGTTTGGAGACACTGGCCCAACATCTCTCATTTGTGATAATCAAGCTGCTTTGCATATTGCTTCAAATCCAGTGTTTCATGAAAGGACTAAGCACATTGAGATAGATTGTTATTTCCTTAGGGAAAAGGTTCTCTCAGGAGATATAGTCACTCGTTTTGTCAACTCAAATGATCAATTAGCTGATGTATTTACTAAGTCTTTGAGAGGACCTAGGATAGACCAGATATGTAACAAGCTTGGTGCATACGATCTATATGCTCCAGCTTGAGGGGGAGTGTTGTTGTACATAGTATAGAAGTCCCACATTGAGTGTGTCTCTTTGTATTCTTCAATTGGTTTGCTATATAATAGCACCAATGTTGTGTAGTTTAATAGAACAAGGATTACAATGAATACCTCGTCTCTTGGTGATTAACAAGAACTAACATCCCAATAGTTTAAGTTGTCAGGTGAAGGCTCACAAATGATTTTATATCTGACAAACATAAATTAAGTGGACCATATTACATGAAAAAACTTACGTATAATTTACAAAAAAAAAAAAAACTTACGTATTCACTTTGATCCAGGTAACACTTAGCGTTTCCTTCTTTTTCTCATCTAGCTCTTCAATCACCTTCTTGATTTTTGACTTGTCATTCTAGGCCAAACAAGAATATATTGAGTGCTCATACAAGAAGGTAGAAAAATGTGGAAATAGATTAAGAATCACCTCAATTATGTTTTTCTTGGACATCAAATCATTGTACTCATCTTCTGCCTTCTCAAACATTGCCATTACTTTCTTGTTAACCCTTTTTTCAAGCCTTAAGGGTGCAAAACAATAAAAGCAAAAGTGTCATCACAAGTAAATGAGCATATGCAATCATACTTGAACATAACAATTCTAAAAGTAAAGAAGTCAGATTTTCAAAGCAACATACCCAGATTGTTCAGCCTGAAGCTTCTCAAGTTCTTCCCTTGCTTTACCAGGATTTCGAGAAGAAAAATCATAATCAGTCCCACTTCTACCGAACAACTGTTTTTCTGAAGCAATCCATGCATGCTTCTCTATCAATTTATCCACCCTCACAGAACAGTCTTTTTGTTCCATCTCCATCCGTTTTACCTATAACAACAGAATGAGGAGATTTTTTTTAGCTCACAATTTCAAAGGGTATAGACTAGAACAGTTAAAATATTACCTCATTTTCCATCCTCTTCTTTTCAAGATTACTCTCACTAAGTTTATGTTCAAGTTTTTGCTGCTCCTTAATAATACCACTGATTTCCTTGTCACATTCCTTCATTTTCAGGCGAACTGAATTCAGCTGTGACTGAACTTCATCAAGATTATTCCTTTCAGCAGCAACCTACACCTTGGAGTTTTGAGGACACAATTCTTGCTCTAGAGAAAGAGATCTAATCAAAATAATTATCTATGCTTACTGCAGATTGTTGTTCTTTTACTTCTGAGGCAAGATTACTAATCTGCATTCTCAATGATGTTAATTGATTCTCCAAGGATGCTTGCTCCTGGATAACAGCTTCCATTTCCATTACAAGCCTCTCCTTTTCATTATCATGTCCCTAACAACCAGCGAGCAAAACCAAGTAAAAAGGCATTACACAGTCATTATCTAATAGGACGGTTGACAACCCTGACCCATTCATTATCACACCCGTGATTATTTAATCATTTGGTTACATTATTTACTTTAGGTTTAATGATTTTGAGCACTCAAAAATCTTAAAATTTTATTCCAATAATTTTTTCACTTTATAGTTGATAGTTAATTCCACAATTTAGATCAGTAATTTCCAATATGCTAGTTTACCCATTCAAATTTTTGTCTCTAAAACAGATGGGAAGGACAGACAAAAAGAGTATGGAAGTTCTATAAATGCAAGTATGCAGGATAGTTTCAACAAATGCAAGCGTCAAATATTATATGAAAGACAAATGCAAGACAATATCCTCAAACAATTGAGGACACAATGAGTATGAAAGCCATTTTCCACAATTGCAAATGTTGGCTCATCAAAAGCTACATTGCACGTTCGGCCACACAATGGAAGTATCCAATAGCACTTCAAAGAAAACCCAATATTTCATTCCAACAAGATTTTAACACATTACTTGTAAAACTGGAATTCAACAAGGGCAACTACTTGACCATCGACTTAGAGTTGGCAATTATTCAGTCGTTATAAATCAGTTCAAATGAATCATAATATGATTAAAAAAAAAATTAAAAAAAGCCTTTTAAATTTCAAGCATACCTTCAGATCTTTTAAAGACGACTGCATTTGGGATTTGATTGACTTTATCTTTTTCTCCAAGTCTTTTAGCCTACTCTCGCGATTATTGTCATGTTCTTTGATTGATTTCTCAAGTGATGAAACAGTCTTGACACAGTCCTCATAAAAGAGTTGTTTTTCCTTGACTGCAGATTTTGCTTCTTCAAGCTCTTGCTCAATCTTCTTCACTAATTCCGCAAGCTACAAAGAGAAATGAGATGATGACAACGAGCAAACAAAGAGGGAAGGATAACATGGAGAAAAATAATACAACCAGGGTGAAACTGCAATGTTTATTCATGAATCAGTTTTGGACTGAAAGAAAGGAATCAAAACCTTATGATGCTCATTTTGCTCAGCTCTGCTCTGAAACAATGAAAGATCATATGACTTGAGTTCTAGTTGCGCTTTGAGGTCTTTAAATTTTTTCTGAAGTGGAAGGAGCTTTGTAATCTGTATGTTAAGATACAAAGACAAAACAGAGAATTATAAGATTGAGATTTATGTTCAAAGTTTGAAAGACAAAACAAAGATTAGTAAGATTGAGATTACGTTGAAAGTTTGAAACCATGTGGTTATATATAAGAAACGGGGAAGGAAAAATGAATAGGCTCCAAAAGATAATAAAAAAAACCCTCTTGTACAAGGCTTCTCGACTTGAGAGGGTAGGGTAAACACTCAGACAAAAAAAAGATTTTAGACCATTCTACTTTAAAGCATATACGTGAAACTAAATGAGCCTAGAGACAAGGTTTAATAGACACTAAACCAAAAGTCCAAAACAATGACAAACCAACTTCCAATTACTTCTTATCCCCGCCATTATCGTTTATCCTCTCTGCACCATCATTCCATATGCACTTACAGCCTTTATTCTCTCCAAAAATTTACCATCTCTTGGAATTTTCTTCTTGTTGAAAGTTGAAACCTTACTGATGGAGAAGGTTACCAATTTAAAGTTCTCCGAGGGGTGCTTCACTCTTTTCGCACAACTTCTTTGTTGCCCAGTAGGATTTGGACTTGAGATTCCTCTAGAGTTTATTATTGCACTCCAGGTCCTATTTTCATGTCAACACCCATTCTCCAGATGGCCCAACCGGCTAAACTATTTTAAAAGTCCAAGGTCCCCAACAAGGAAAAATCTTTAGTTGGACTGCTGTACTTAACAAGATTAATATATATAACTAAAGGTTTAATATTTCTCATGTTATAGGAAATAAATTTATCTCCTACACACACGTAAAAATATGTGGAGCCAATATTTTCTCTTTATATCTTCTCCTCACATGGATCCCATATTTTCTCTATCTGACCTTTTTCCCCCTATATTCAACAAATTCCCTTTCTCCCTCCCCTAACTACTCTTCTTTCACATCTATTTGCTCTTTCTGTAGCTGCCTTTCCCTCCCCTAATTTTCATTCTGTCCATCTATTTTCCTTGCCTTAGGCCTACCAGAGTATACTTGCAGGACTTTGGGTTTTGGCTTAGATGACCAGTAAATATCATTTCTTTCTGTTAACTTATAAATGCAGTGACAGACAAATAAAAAAAAAACCAACATACAATTTTTGTTTTACAACGTAAAATCCAAAAAGGGGAAGAACCGGAGCAGTGGTAAAATTGTTCTTTCATGACTGAAAGGTCATGGGTTCAAATCCAGAAAATAGCCTCTTTGCAATTATGCAAAGGTAAGGCTACGTACAAGGATTTCCTCCACACCCCACACTCGCTAGTCGGGTTTAACAGGGGGCGAAATGGAACAGTGGTAAAACTGTTCTTTCATGACTGAAAGATCATGGGTTCGAATCCAGGAAACAGCCTCTTTGCAATTATGCAAAGGTAAGGCTGCGTACAAAGATTTCTTCCACCCCACGCTCACTAGTCGGGTTTAAAGGGGAGTGGTTTAACATAAAATCCCAATATTATTGGGTTTTCTAAATATAAGTTTCCATATTATTTTTAAAAGGGGGTTTCAAGGTCTACCTTTGCTTCAATCTCTGATAACCTTCTTTGATGCACTGAAAGTTTTGATTCAGCCTCCGCCAAAGCATGAAGTTGCCTCAAAAGATCACCACTGCCCCTGTTACAACATACCAAGAAGCATATATAATAGCCTAAAATATCATCAGGTATAAGCATTTAAAAGCTAAGTGACTGCATCAGTTGGTAGAGAACGGAACCATGTAAAGTAAAATACAAAAAGTTCTACAAACTTGTCGAAATATTCTATGCTCTCTGCTCACATTGGACAGAGAATAAGTGATATATGTGCATTCCAGTGAAAATTATGACGATAAAAACAAAATAGCACCGTACTTCCGGCTTCCACCAGTCAGAAGACCACTTGGCTGAAATATATCTCCTTCAAGAGTGACACTTGTGGTGTGAATCTCCCGATTAAATGCCACCTATTAGACATCCAACAAAGTGCAAGCTGAATTGAGCATCTATATAGGTGGGTAAGAAATGATCATGTGCCAGATTAGACAAGTATGAGTGTATGATCAACAAACAGTTTAAGTATCACATAGTGGAAACAAATAGTACTCACGTAGTTACATAGAGACATTGAGTAACAGAATCTAGAAAGTAATTCTATTTAACATTAGGCAGATGTACAGTAAGCAATTTAGTACGTTAAGAAAAACATTAAAAGAGCTGGGCATACAATCACCAAATACTTATGCATGGATACGACCATCAAGCTGTTATACATGACTAGTAAAAAAAATGCAAGGGAAAAACATATTCCATTACCTCCTTTGCAGATTGAAAGTGCAACATGTGGAAGGCATAATATCAATAAAGGGTTTACACCACAAAGTAAAATTAATGCTTCAAGTAACTCGGCAGAAAAAATTATCACTGCTCATTACCTCCTTTGCAGCGTCGATAGTTTTGCATACAAAGGTTGAACCAAATACATATTCCATTGCATTCTAGAACAAATATAAAATTTTGTTAGAACAGAATTGAGTTAACATAAAATGAAAACTACAATCTGGAAATTTAAATGAAAAGGAAAATGCTTTCGGTACCCATGGTTGCATTATATATATATATATATATATATATATATATATATATATATATATATATATATATATATATGCATGAAATGTTATTATGAATTGAAATTCAAGAAAACAAACCTTCAATTCGTCTTCATAACCAACCAAAGAAAGTGCTACTTCAGCATTCTCCTTACCTACCTGAAATTGAAGTAACAAAAAACTTCATCAAAGCTAGTTAGGCAATCTAGACACTTAGATAGCAAAAAATAAGTGGATAAATAATTTTTAAAAAAGAAAAAAAAATATGTAGATCAGTAATTTTTAAAAATAAAAGTTGCAGTAACCAACCAATCTGATGGCAGCCTGTTGAACTCTGGAGGGAACAGTATTGGATTGTATTTTGTTCAAAGGTATAATTGTCACTCTTCTTCTAAGATCGCCATTCTGTAGTAGTTGCTTTCCAGTATTTTCTGTGTCAACTACTACATTAAACAACTTTCCACCAGCTGTAACCTGAAAATGGTCACATTCAAGGGATTACCATAAGAATTTTCATTTATAAATTCACATACATGTTATCATGATGTCCAACCTCTAGGGCAGTCACTGTGGACCTATCCTTTACTTTGATTAATTTTGCAACAACACCTTTCACCTTTGACCTATCAAAGTTCTTGACAGGATCACGGTATGTAAATTCAACATTCGATAAGTATGCTGAAATATTGCGTATTTCATCCTTCCACTTTTGCACACAATCCATCTCAGATGCCCGCTCCTGGAAGTTATTTTACAGAAGAATTTATTGAAATGAGACTAATAAACCTCACTAGATTGAAAAGAAACTAACAGAAAAGAAACCAATCTAACCTTTTGCAAAGCTTCCATCTCTCCCTCTTTATAAGGAAGAGACTCCAATCCCATTTTAACATTTTCCACATCTTTTTGTCGAGTGTTGAGTTCATTTTCTACAGCAATAGCTTCCTCACGTTTTGACCTTAATTGTTTTGTTTTCTCTTGCAGTTCCTTATCACAATGGCTAATTTTGGTTTTCAGCTGTTTCAATTCCGTTTCAGCACTCCCAACTGCTATCTTTGCATCACCTAGTTGATCCTCTAAACATTTCTCCTCATTACCACTGCTCTTGCCAGCTACAACACCCTACCAATAATTTTGAACAAGAGGATAAAAGGAAACGCCTCAATCTAACTGAAATACCAGTGATAGAGATCATAGGTCCTGATAACATCAAGCCAGCATATGTTTCTTTTACCTGGTATTCCTTTTCATGCTCCTCCAGACTTTTGGAGAGCTCATCAACTCTCTTTTTCAGATCAGCTGCTCCCTCTTCAGCCTTTTTAACCGCAGAGGCCTTCTCTTCAACAGATTGCTTCAACTCTTCAATATTTTTAACAATCTTAAAACATCAAGGTTTAAAATTGAAGAATTAGGTTCACAAAATGGAAGTATTTCAAAACATAAGTAGCTAGAAAATTAAAAAAGTGATTATAATCATCTTGAAATTGAGCAAAGAATGAATCAAAAACACCGCGTACATACATTTTCTTTGTTGGCTTCTTCACTCCTAAGAGTGTCTTCTTTATGATTTAGTATAGACGTTTCCCTCACAAGATTCTGGGAAAGTGCATCTACCTTCTCTGACAGAGATTTCACTTCTCCACCCATGCTTGCTTCCTTTTCAGCAGTCAACTGAGCTATGTTGGTCTCCATTTCCTTTACTTCCTGCAGGGTCGTCTTAGTAAAGTCATCAATCTCAGCTATCTTGGCTTTTATTTGTTCCACCTCAGAGGTAGCATTGTCTTTAATCCTCTCAGCTTGAACATACTCATAAGCAATACAAAATCTTCTCAGCCTATCCAACTCAGCATTGCCATTAGCCCATTGCATGTATTGTGTCCTTTCTTTCCTTAACTTCTCCAAGGCAGGCAGTATCTCCTGGTCAAGAAGCTTGTTAATCTCATCAACCTTACTCTGCTTCTTCTCAAGTGTTTTTAGAGCAGCCTCTTTCTTTGTCTCATACATTCTCGTCCCTGCAGCTTCCTCAAGCATAGACAATATCTCTGGCGGTTTCATATTTAAAACTTTGGTGATGCGGCCTTGCATTATGAGGAAATGCGGATTATTAACATTTAGCTGCACCGAATGAAAAAGGTTCTGGACTTGACTAGGCTGTGCAACTTTCCCGTTGATCAAATATTTGTTTCTCCCTCCAACCACAATCTGCGTTGTACCCGAACACATATCATAACACTCAAAATGAGAAATTGCATAGCTGATAATTGATAACTAAATTTTAATTTTAAATTGAATAGTCACTTAACCAATGATTAAAACAATCACTTAAGTTAGAGACAGTAAATCAACCCAAGCAACTACTAAACTTAAAACCCACAATGCTTAATTTTCTTATTTTGAATAACGTTTAATTTTTATAAATAGTATTTTAAAGAGAAGTTGCAAAGTTGATAATAGATAACTTAAACCCGTAATTAAAACAATCACTTAGAAAAAGGTAGTGACAAATATCAATTTAACCAACTATTTAGACCAAAACCCATAATTCTCTTTCGCCAAAATGACATAAAAATGGAAACTCCAGAAGCAGAAATAAATAAACCAGAAATTCATACACAAAAGCAAAAATAATAATAATAATGAAAATAATAATAATAATAATAATAATAAAACCTGTCTTGTTACTGTAATCTCTGAATGGTCTTCATATCCAAGAGGGCTTCGAGTCCTTTCGGAATTATCGAACACAATGGACACCGTAGCTTTGGTAATTCCTGCTTGGCCTTGCTTATACACGAGCTCCTGAAGATTTGAAGCCCGAACCTGCTGCAAGTTCGTGATGCCAAGAACGAAGCAAATCGAATCGAGTATGTTCGATTTGCCGGAACCGTTCAACCCTGTGATAGCATTGAAGAAGGGATCGAACCCCGGAACCACGGTTCTCGTCGCGTACGATTTGAAACCTTCCAAGCAGATCTCCTTGATGTACATCGTTAGAATCACAAACTGTCAGCGACGTTCGGAGAAATTGATGACAGAAAAATGGAGTACGAACCGGCTCAGGGTTTTGGAGATCGAAACCCTAAGCGGAAGTGTTTGCTTGGCGTGTGTGTTTTCTGAGTGCTGAAGGTTGCAGAGAGTGAAAGGGGAGAATTTGAATTTGTGGTTGAGTGCTGGGTTTTTTGTGTCTTCAAGTTCAAGACGGGGGAGTGGCAAAAAAAAATGCGGGAAATTTGTTTAGTTTATTTGAAAAAATAAAAATAAAAAATAAAAAAATAAAAAATATATATATATATATATATATAAGAATGCTATACTTACAATCTATCTTCGTTTACAACCTCTTACAACCATATCTTAACCATTGATTTTCATCAATCAACGGTTATTATTTTCCGACGGTTATTATTTTCGCAAATTAATAATGAGGAAGGTTATACTTACAATCTATTTTCGTTTACAACCTCTTACAACCATATCTTAACCGTTGATTTCCGTCAATCAACGGTTATCCTTTATGTGAATTAATAATTAATTAATGAGTTTAATTTGGAAAAATAATAACCGTTGATTGGCAGAAATCAACGGTGTTAAGATATGGTTGTAAGAGGTTGTAAACAAAAATAGGTTGTAAGTATAATCTTTCTCATTAATAATTTAATAAAATTATTAATTCACAATAAATAATAACTATTGATTGATCGGAAATCAACGGTTAAGATATGGTTGTAAGAGTGTATAAACAAAAATATGATGTAAGTATAACCTACCTATCTATCTATCTATATTTGTTGAGAAATAATATTTTATCTATTTTTTTCGTGCCTACTGTACATATTCATTTAAGTAGGTAGAATACAGATGAAAAAATCAACCACAATATCTTATCTCATATTTGTTAAAATTAAGATATTCCAAACATGCATTTTCGGTGGTTGGTATAAAGCAATATTATTAAAATCGGCTCGGTTATTTACCCAGTCAAGGTACCGGGTCACAGGGTCATTGGAAACCAATGGGCCACTGGTTCAATTGCATGACTCGGTAAATATATATAAATTTATAATTTAAATATATTTAAATATATGTAAAAGTTAATATTAATTTAAATATTTAAACTTTATTAATAATACATATCACGCTTCGTATTGCAAGAAAAAAGAAAATATCATGTTTCAAATGCAATGGCTTAGCAAACTACCCATTGAAGACAATAATAAATGCAATATGTACATACCATGCCATTTCCCAAGAAACCCATTATATTCCCATTTCACACGATTTGTATTTCAAAAAAAAAAACCATGTTTCAAATGCAATGGCTTAGCAAACTACTCATTTAAGACAATAATAAATGCAATATGTACATATCACTTCCCAAGAAACCCATTATATTCTCATTTCACACGCTTCCTTCTTTTCAAGCCACTGGTTATCTACTCTCTCTTTTTGGGTAAGCACTCTTCTTCTTCTTTACCATTGTTGCCATGGCATGAAGCATCACCATCGTCTGCTTCGTTGTGCAACGCTTGCCTCCGCCACCTCTACACCAACCAGGTTCTCTGGCGAGAGATCCATACGCCATGTGGCCTTTTCCTGGTGGATCCACTTGCCGACCAAGTCATCTCCACCATCTCCGGCGACGCTTTCCCTTCTTTTCTTTTTTCTGTTGTCTATTTTTGACCCGGCGAGTCACCAATTTTAGTAAAATCGGTTGGTTCACACCGGGTCACACCAGTTTGTTTGCATGTCCGATCCATCACGCTACCCGAACTGGTCACATGACCGGTTTACCGATTTCCGGTTCAAACCGGCCGGTCCGGTCCGGTTCTTATAACACTGGTATAAAGAATAAATAAGTGACTGCGGTTGTAATTTATGTCCAAGAACAATAGCACTACCTCATATGAAACTAATGCAATACTAACCCAATTTGTGTGAGTGATGGCTCCTGTACTTATCTCCATTGCAACTTATTTAAATAATAATATGAAAATTTTACTCTATTCCATTATAAAATATCTAATAACATAATTTTATTTTACTCCATGATTTCATCTTATTCTTACTGCTATTAAATATTTGGGGAAGAATTCATTTACAAATTTTTTTTTACAAATTTTGCAAATTACATTATGTACTGTTGGAAGTATATATTGTAACTTAGTGTACTTCCAGAAATACATAATGTAATTTATAAGAATTTATAAACAAAAAAATTATAAATATAATCCTCCCCTAAATATTTAATTGAACCTGTAAATTCATCCATCGTTGTATACTCACGTTTTAATAGGCTGACAATTTTTAATCAATATGCTAGGATGACTAGAATATTGTATGGAATTTTTGCGTGATGTTCACTGCTGGAACATTCAAGTGTGATAAATTTCAAAATGACTCATTTTGTCAAGTGGGTACAGGAGAAGCCTATGGCAGGGAACCACCATTAATGGGTTAAGCTATGCCAACCATACCAAGTAGGTTTGACATTATTTCACAACCCAAAATCTTAAGGTATTGGTTTCATGACAAAACAAATTAAAATATTTCTATTTTAATAAATAATTATGAAAATATAGTTATTTTGAAATAATTTACGAATTTATTACACTCAGTCATGCCCAAAATACGCGTGACCTCTCACTCATTCACGCCTAGAAAAGGGGGACCCATCTGATGTTGACACGTGGCATAGAAAAAGTCAACAGATTAATCGTAAAATTTTGAAAGGCCATAACTTTTGATTCAAGTGTTCGAATCAGTTGCTTTTTTTTATATTCCACATAACTTTTTTAGAGCTACATGTCAGCAAATACCCGAAGGGGATTTTGCCAAAAAAAAATCGCAAAAATTGCTTTTTTGTGCCTAATTTGGTAATTTTTATCTTTGTGAATTATTTTATTTAAATTTTTACTTCCAACACTAACAAATAATTCTCTTGGAATTTTTCAGTGCTTAGATCTCAAAAAGTTACGTGGAATTAAAAAAAATGCTTAATTCGGACTACCGGGCCAAAAGTTTTAGCCCTTTGAAGTTTTATGATAAACTTGAGCTCATGCAATCAATTACATAGGCCATGTAATCGATTACATTATCCAGTCAACGATCAAACATGTATTTGATAATTTTTGTTTTAAAAATGGGTAAATGGGTCAAAAAGTTAAATAAACATATATTGTCCTCTTTTTTGGAAAATTTTGGGAGATAAATGCTCTTGTGGTGGCATCGTTATTTCAAATTTGAAAAAAAAATTGGAATTTTTTTTGACCAAATCTTATTCAATAAGATATAATTGCGTACATCTCAAAAATTTATGTGGAATAAAAAAATTACCTGATTCGGATACCGAGTCAAAAATTATGGCCTTCCGAAGTTCTACGGTCAAACTGTTAACTTTTTTATGCCACGTGTCAACACTATATGGGTCTAGGCGTGAATGAGTGAGGGGTCACGTCTAAATGAGGCATGAGTGGTCACGCCCATTTTAGGCGTGACTGAGTGTAATAGATCCGTAAATTGTTTCAGGACAACTATATTTTCGTAATTATTTATTAAAATAGCAATATTTTAATTTTTTTTGTCTTGGGTTCGTAGGTCCATATGTTGCATCGACACCGACACGGGATACGAAACACGTTAATTCTAAAAAATGTTAAATTTCGACACGTTAGGACACGTTTTGATATTATATAATATTTTTAATTTTATGTAGTGTATATTATATTTAGTATTCAATAATTTAACAAAAAAATAAAGCTAAACTTATAATATCGGTCAATTTTGCAAAGAAACATAAGATATCCCAAATGTTTACATTAAACTCAATAAAATCGTAATCGTAATCTAACGAATCTAATAGTTGGAACTCAAAATACAACGCAACGTAACTTTTGAACCTTTTTTAAGTCTTTGCAACGAGTATTGGAGTGTCGGGAAGTGTCGGAGTGTTGGAAAGTGTCGGACACGACACATCAGGATTTTTGAAGTGTCGATGCTTCATAGGGTCCATCCATGCCTATTATCAACCAATATGGGACTCATCACTCTTGAATATCCCAACAATCTCCCCCTCAAGTGTGAAACTCACCATTGATATGCTCCCCCTCAACCGAGTACCTAGGCATAAAGTACTCAACCCTCCTCTTAGCCAAACATCTGGCTAGCCCGAGCCCAACCCGGCTCTGATACCACTGTCAGATGGGTCCAGGAGAAATCCCTGACGGAGGACCATCACCAATGGCTAGCTAGGCCAACCACACCAAGTGAGTCCGATACCATGTCATAATCCAAAACTTTAAAATATTGAGTTCATGGGTCCATCCACACCCATTACCAAGTTCAAGTGAGACTCATCATATTTGTATATCCCAACATTCATAAATCCAAGACTCACGTGTAATTATATAATTAAATATTTAGCCTCATTTTTTTTATTTATTACTTTAAGGTTATTGTGCTCTAATACAATGAGCTAGGTCTATATTACTTGAAAATATCTTCAGCAATAAAATGATGGTATCACATTTGGTGAATGAGAGTTGAGCATGTGGGGATAAAAGTATGTGTTCGATCCTCTCCAATACTATCTTTGAAAAGCGTTTAAAACCTTAATTTTGGACCCGTTTAATCTATATTAAACCTATGGGATTACAGGGAGAGACTCTAAAAAAATATCTTCAGCACTTTCTTAGTATTGAAAATTCAGTACCTCTTTTATTAAATTTAGGGGGTAAAATAATGTATGAGAACAGAGACATGTTAGGTGAACAACATGTTTCTTTGGTTACTTGTTGGTGACCTGCTCCTTACAAATGGGAGAAGGAAACAATGACACACAGTGCCCCAAATGTCCCCACCCTTTTGAGAATCGCCTTCATACAATAAGGAACTACGTTGGTTCTCGCATGATTTGGCAAAGGATGGTGAAGCACAAACCATGGAATAATTTCTTCAACCTTAATTTGCAGGATTAGGTGCTAGTCAATATT